CAAATTTCCGGCCAAAACTCTCACCAGCTGACTCTCATCCTCGACTTTCCAAAGACGCGCGCTACGATCTCTGCCGCCTACAGTAGCCACGCGTTGTTTCGACAGCACGCCAATCTGTTGAACGCCATCCTGATGTCCGTACATTGTGTCGACGAGTCCCAACTGGTCAATGTCCCACATCTGAAAATGTCGTTTTTGAGATTAAAAATAGCTAAAAATAGGAATTTTTCAGTAGAAATGTGGTGAAAGTCCAAATTTTTGAGTCAAAAACTGCTAAAAATAACAAATTTCAGCCCGAAAAATCGCTTAAAATCATCCCTGACCTTCACAGCACCCCGTTACAAGTATGCTTTACAGCTGTTATTTAGGAGTCTTCCTTTTACCTGTTTTACGCGTTTTAGTTAGAAAGGATCTTTTAAAGATTTTTAGGACTTTGTGTCAGCAACTCACTTTCTGGATCTGGCGTCTGGAATGGAACAATTTTCAACGGTTTTTGTTCATCCAAGTTGTTATTCTGATAATATGCGGGAGGCGGACGATCGGCCTCCTCAAGGAATACTCTTGACATACTTGAGCAGCAGAAGAAAAACTCAAAAAAAGAAAATAATTGAGCGAGAGAATAGAACAAAAACAGCGTAAAAAACAGATAAAAGAAAGAGAGAAAAGAGAATAGAATAACAATGAGAAAGGGACTCTTGGACTACTAATTCGCGGCGCGACTCTCCAAAGCAAAAATGGAGCTAATGGAATCGAAAAAATAGGGAATGGATGGGAGAAAAGAGGAAAGAGAATAGGGAATAGGGGAGTGACATCCTAATAGATGTTCTTAAAGTATCGTGTTTCTCCAAAAATGTGACTACATCACATAAAGTTCGAAATGTCAACGAATTCAGAGGAAATGAAAATGGATATTTAAAAAAACGATACCGTACATTCTCTAATAGAAGCACACCCTATAACTGCATCTGAGCTCAATAATCTCGGTTCCCGTCAAGGATATAAAAAAAGTGGTCAACTGATATAATATAGGTGATATTATTAAAAACCTTTTATTAGTTGATCACTTTTTAATATCTTTCAAAAGAACCGAGACAATTAAGTTCGAAGTGCAGGAATAGGATGGACTTCTAGTGGAGAATTATTAGAGAGATTCCGATAGACTTTACGGAATATCAGAAAATTTACGGTAACGAAGATTATTCTTATTTGGGAAGCTAGAAATATTTTTTTTTCGAATGCACAGTTATGAATACAAAATGCGAAAGAGGAATCTTCAGATGATCACATCTTTATCTCAATTCAATTCAATTATATTATGCACAATAATGGCTCTCCAACGAATGCAAAAATAGACCCAAACGGGCCAACACTAATATATCATTTTCCGGAAACATCGAAGAACTCATGAACATTTTTCTTCTTTTCCATGAATATATTAAAGAAGAGAACTGAAAGAGGGGAAAAAAGAGGAAAATGAAATGGAAAACATATGTGATGGTGATGCATTGACAAAAACTGCACTATTCTGTTTTGCAAAAAGGGGTTCGAGTATCTTTTATCTCAAGTTTCGCAATCATTTTACTCATGGATAACAAGGGAAGCTTTTGAAGAAGAGAAAGAGCACAAAATGTATTACACACTGGTCAACCCGGACGGCAGGAAACACATTACTGCTGATGATGAAGAAGGCAGAGGTTGTGTAATCGTTGGACGATGAAGAAGAAGAAGAAGAAGGTGATTTAGTGTGTGAGGCAAAGTCAATTTATAATGTCCCGACTGGTCTGGAAAATGAAAGAAAACGGATATATCAATGACTCGTTAGGGGAAATCATAGATTTTCAGAAGAGAGGGAATCTGAAAAATAATTGATGGCACTTGAACATCTTCAGAACTGGTGCAAAGATTATTTCAGAAAATTTCTAGGATACAACAACCCGATTGCTAGAAGAGTTTTAAACGATAAGGCAGTAGATTTTTTGGAGTTTTTTTGGAGTTAGGGTCTGTATTCTGACGTAACGGTGTACAATGCTCACTTCGAAACCAGTCATTTCGAAACCATGGCAATACAGATAAATAGACAAATTTCAGACCACAAAAACAGTTTTAAGATTTTCTGATCGAACACATTTTGAAAATCGGAAAAGTCAAAGGTAATGTTTTATTGAAAAAATTAAATTTGAGATTTCAGAATGTGTCGAAAACACTTTAAATTGTTTTTGTAGTCTGGAAGTTATCCATTCGCCTGTATTATCACGGTATCGAAAGGACCGGGTTCGAAATGACTGGTTTCGGAGTGACCCGGAGCCCATCGGGCCGCTCTAGCTTCGCCCGCATGGCTCAGTTGGTAGCGATGCCGCACTTTCAATACTTGCCCCACAATTTCCACTCCTTGAGAGGCTTTTATGGACTAAATTTCCATACATTTTATTTTTTCATTTCCTCCCACTTTTAATATCTACCAGGATATTATATAGAATCAACATGTAACAACATCTCCTCCCTAACAATTATTCACTCACTTAATTCTATCTTTTCCCATCCAAGGTTCAAAAAATCAAAAGTTTCAAAACTGTGTTCCGATGATTCATCTCCATATAAAACTCCATCGAACACCCACTGAAAAATTGAATTTTTCCTGCAATTCCCATGCATAAGAATCATTTTTGGCATATTCCCATTCGCCTGACTCCTCCTTCGACTATCGATGGAAACAATTGGGAACAGCAGATCATTCGAACCTCTGCAGTCATGCAGATACGTTGTCTTCTGATTCCTCTACTTCTAGCTTCAGCCATCTCTTGTACAACAAGACGTGGTCTTAAAATAGTCGCTGTGAATAAGGATGGAACATTCCCAGACCGTATTCAGGTAGATCAAATGCATCCCAAGGAAAGCAACAATATCAATTTCAGAAGTCGTTGGAATCGGCTTTGAAATGGTTTGAAAACGCTATTCTGATTGAGGATAAAAACTCGAAACTTACCTTTGCTAAAATCAAACAGGTCATAGGATATACACTTGCTGACAACGTTGGTAAAGTCACAATCCAGGTACAGTAAAAGCTATCGAAACAGAACTAAAAGTAACTTTTCAGACCCCTAATAAGCTATTTTCCCTGGATATCGAATCCCCGGATTTCGAAGAACTTTTTGATGCATCCGACATGTTAATCTTCATTCGCGAGAAGCAATGCGCCCCATCGAGTCGTCCATCAGCAACAGGATCTCATATGAAGAACTCATATGAAACATTCTCTAAACGCGGGATGATGCAATGGTGTTACCATGAAGAAGATCCAGAATTCCCATACTTTGACCTTATCCGTCATGAAATTCTCCACATTCTCGGTTTTGGAACGGAGAATTTCGATGCTCCACAAATCGAAAATTATCAATGGAAAAATGAAGACAATACGGTATCGCAAGCCAAGAGATATTTTTTCAAAACTAAGGGATCGACGGCATTGGATGAAGTCAAAAAACATTTTGGATGTGATAACTTGAAGGGAGTTGAATCTGACATACACGCACGACATCTAAATGAGTACATTTTCCATGTGAGTTATTTTATTCATATTCGAAAGTACGATGTACAGTACCGATCCTTAAGATATAAAAAACGTATTTTTCAGTTGACTTTGACCATTTTCAGGAGCCTCGGTTGTCTAGTGCCGGATCATTTTGAAAATTTTAGAAGACGTAAAACAGACCTAGAATCAAAAGTTTGCATTCACAGAAATTTTGAAAATTCCTAGTTTTTCAACTCTTTCCCGCTTTTTGAAAGACATCTGAATTTTTCAAGTTTTCCGTACAAAAACGGGCAAAAAGAGGTTTCTTTCAAAAATCGGCAAATAACTGAAAAACTAGGAATTTTCAAAAGATTCTGTGAATGCAAAGTTTTCAATCTGGGTCTGTTTCCCACTCTCACTGAAAGACGATAAAATCGAGAAGACAAAAATGTATTCTCCGATTTTTTTTTTCCATTTCCGTTTCCCTATAAAAATATATCCTCGTATCATTTTAGAACGAACTGATGACACCATTCATCCAAAATGGAAAGAATTATTTGAGCTGGATTTCAGTAGCACTCATCGAGAATATTTATGGAGGGTATGAAGTGATATTGTTCAATCATAAATATGATTTTTAATTTTCAGACAAGTATACCATGTGGACAAGAAATTCGTAGCTGCTGAAGCCGACAGCTACAGTTTCGGAAAAGGATTTGGATGTTCTTGGTTGACGAAGTCGTGCCACGAATTCCTTGAAGAGAGAACCGATTCTTCACGTCCGGTTCCATTCTGTCCGAAAGAGGATAACAATGCTTTAACCATAAAATGCTTTAAAACCGCTCCGACCACAGCTCATCTTCTCAATTGCCGCGAAAAAATGAACGTAGCAGTTGATAACGGAATCGTAGGGATTTAAATTCAATATCAAGATAATTTCTTTTTTTCTTTTTTTCAGCTATTCCCTGCTAACTCGAAGTATCAAAACCCGTTCACTCGCTTCTGTCCGATATACACGGTATGTTGAAATTGAATAAGTTACAACGGAGACTACAAATTCAGGATTACCAACGAATGCTCTCCGAATATCCACTTAGCGATTGCAACAAGAGCGAATATCCCGAATAATTGTTTGAATTTTCATTTTGTTTGAATTTTGTTTCATGGAATATAAAATTTTTCCGTTTCGAGACCTTGCCTCGTTCATTTCAATCTTTCTATTAAAGGGTTCCGTTGAACCAGATACGAATCTTGTGAGCTCAAAACAGAAAAGAACACGGATTGAATGAACGATTCGATCCACAGTTTTTAATCTGTTTCGATATGGTTTCATCTGTACTGAGGCTTCCATTTCGGTTACTCAAAAATCGGAGACAGCTGACCGAATTCGTGAATGTGCGCGTAAACATGCCAGTTAGTGTTTGCGTACATTCACAAAGTAAAAAAATGCGTCGTCCGCCGTAAAATAAAATTTGCGTACGCAAACACTCTCTGGCATGTTGACGCAAAAATGCACAAACTCATTCCGACCGATCGGTCAGCTAGGTTTACTGTTGGTCGGATGGGTCGGCGGTCGGTCGGTGAGTTGAATTTCCCGACCAAATGGAAGCCGTAATCTGAACCAATTTTATTCTTCCACTTGTGGTCCAACAAAAAAGATACCGAGAAATAAAAACTGTATTATGAAAAATCATCTTCAGCCAACGAAATGAATCAATACAAAAAGACTATTTCCATGATTTCAGAAAAAAGAAAAGCAAATCAAAAAATCACATTGACATTCTAAACAAAAAGTGATGAATGGAAAAAAGGAAAGATGAAGACGGGAAAACTCAAAAATTAGGAAAATGCTATCAGGATAGAGTTGATAAATGTCAATGAGTCAATGATCCCTGGAGAAAAGAACCGGAGGAATAATAGAGAGATGGAAACGACTAGAAACGAATAGACGAAGAGAAAATTTTGGGTGGATTGGCGCCCGTTTGAAGAAAAGTAAGAAACAAAAAGATATAATCTGCTTGAAAGAAAAATGATAATACAATTATTTAGTCTTCGATCAGAGCAAAAAAACTATTCACAGAGAAAATAGATGGCAATGTTCTAATTTACATGCATTGGACAGGGAATGAAAAGTGACTAGATATAGGAGAGAAGTCTCAGAGAACCGTATTACTTCGACGTTTTCGTTCGGTTGGATCCGATTTCAGTTTGTAGATCATTTCACCCAGTTGATCGATTTCATGAACATTTTCAGTCTGAAATCATAAAATTGGATTCAAATCATATTTGTTGAAAACCTACTAAATACATAAGAGTGGTCCAAATCATTTCCATTAATTTGGCATCATCAATTTGATCGATTCGCACTGCGATTCCTTTTGGACTCAATCGATTGAACGGAATATTGTGTGCGTGGCATCTCTCTTGTGCCATCTCAACAGCTGTCAGATCTTGACCCACTACTTGTTCCAGAATCAATGTTGACAAGTGTCCGATGTTCATTGCTTTTGCTTTGATACTTTTTCCACTTTTGTATTTTCTCTCGGCAAGAGCTGGTTCTCCGGTTCCAATTGAAAGAACTCCTGCGAGATGGAGAGGGTTTTGATGTCTGGAGAAGCTATCGTATTCCTGAAAAAAAGAAAAGTTGTAAAAAGTTTAGAGCAAAATATGTTACCTTGAACAAAACATTGAGTGGATAATTGGCTACAAAACTTCCATCAACCAAAACTTTGGTTCCATAAACAAAAGGTTCAAAGTATGTCGGTGCAGCACTGCTTGCTCTTGCAGCTTCTCTGAACAAAATGTCCTGATCTTCGTTCAAAGAGACACCGAATGGCTTGGTGAATGAGTAGTTTCTGAAGATATGAAGTCTAGCTGGTGCAGTACTGATATCCAATGCAGGGATTGTCAATCGAGTCGAGCAGGCTTGAAGTGTTTCTGTCGGGAAGCATTCTTCCAAAACTTTGTCGATGTTCTTTGTTTGAACAGCTACCTGATCACCAAGAAGACGTTTTACAGTGCTTCCTCGGAGAAAGATTTGACTTTTCATGTCCCAATATTGGAAGAAACATTCACTGATTGACTTCTTGTTTACCATGGAGAGTGCTAGCATACTTCCAGTTGATGTTCCAATGAACCAATCGAATAGATTTGGAAGGGATTCATCTCCTAGAAGACGTCGAGAAGCGTATAACAGGCACACAACTGAAAATTAGAGGTTATTGAGAATTAGAAAACATCATACCGTATTTCCTCTAATATAAGCCCACCTATATTTGAAGCCCACCTCTAATAGAAGCCCACCCTCTAACAGAAATTTGTGCAATTCAGTTTGTACAGTTTGTACAGTGCAGATCGTCTACTTGGTTATTGCGCAAATCTTCTTTCGGTTTAAAAAAATTTTCTGGGGGTTTCGAATATTGGTATTTTCCTGAGAAGAAGGTTGAAAAATAGAAGCCCATGGGCTTCAATTATAGGAAATACGGTAATTCAAAATCGAGGCCCGGGCTGATGGTCTAGCAGAGGATTTTAAGCCGGGCAGAGGATTTTTAGGGCCCGGTTTTGGCCCAGCAAGCATGTAAAGTATAATTTCTCACCTGAAACCAATCCTCTCATTCCTCCACCATCTAAGCACAGCGCCATAACTCCGTCCACTTTCTTGGATTTATTGATTTGAATTGGAGTTCTTTCAAACATTTCCTCAAAAATTGTACCGGAAAACTCAAGAAACGCCTTGAATTTTGAAGCACACTCTTCACAAACACTTCCATTATCCATACGATCCGCCAAAATTTTCTCTCCAATATCATCTTTTAATAAAGGCGCTGGATCAGCTCCAAGTGTCAAAAGAAGACGCATTTCAGTGATTGTTGATTGAGGAACAGACCACAATTCCAGAAGTTTTGCTGTCATCTGAAAACACATTCAGGACTTCCTGTTAAGTCGGAACTCTGTTTTCTGATCTTTAATTTGTATCATCAATGGCTACTAAATTGTGTTTACATTCATAGATAACACCTGTCTGTGACAGATGTATTTAAAGATCAAAGGTTCTTCTACTTCTAACTTTTGAAAATTTGAATTTTGTAGACAACTAACCATTGCATTTCCAGGTGCTTGATCTGGTTGAACGCTTTTCTCTTTCTGTGATTGAACTGCAGATTTTAGGAATGTTATCATACTATCCACTCTTTCAGCCTTCTTCTTTGCGCTCATTTGATGAGCACACCGGTTGGACGGCATCTTGGAATTGATTAAATTCACCGGTTTGGGGGACCCAAGTTTCAGAACGAAAGAGAGAAAATTTCTGAAATAAAGAAGAATGTAGGTCAAATCGATAGGACGGAAAAACGGCGACAAAAAGTTGAAAAAGGGAAATGGATCGAGTGCGTGTATGTGTGTGCTTCATGAAAAATAAGCCGATGGAGGGTGATAAGAATTGATAAGGTAACACAACTCGGATGAAAAATTCATGTGAATGGCAAAGTCCAATTTGAAGAACGTTTCTCTTATCTCATTTATCATATTCGAATATTATTGGGGGACATAATTTGAAAACACGTGGCAACTGATAACTGTTTTGGTTCCGTGTAAGAACAAATATTTAGTAGGTCAAAGTTCTCTCTACTACTGTAGTTGCTCGAAAATAAAGCACATTTTTGAATATTGAGAAACAATTTTTGGGATCCTAGAATTCCCAAAAACTTCCAAAAATTTTTACAGCCAAAGATTTGTGATGCACTTTTTTGCCCCTCAAAAAATTCACAATTTTCCAGAGGCAAACGAGCACTTCAAGTATGATAAGTTCAAAAGTTTGAAGTAGATTATTTGTTTAATGATTCAACAATTTATCAAGAATCGACCAAACTTTCATTCAATTCCCCAATCAAATTATATATACTGCATAGGAAAAATTTATTAATTTTGGTTTCTTCTATTAGGTTTTTCGGAAAGTCCTTTCCATTTTTGATATGTTGTTTTCAAACTTTGTTTTTTTGAGCGGGGTAAAAGCGAGGAAGCTGTCGCTCAATCACCAGACATCTCGAAACGTGAAATTCGTGTTAAAATGGGATGTTGTCGGTATGGTGATCAGAATGGAGTATTAGGAGCTGCCTGATAATAGTGTCACTTTTACGACTCATACCTATTCTTGTCAGGTGACATAACTCAGACTTTATGTGGATCTCCATTGGAGAGGAACGCAAAGGTTTATTTTGAAAATTAAAATTAGCAACCTCATGCGGGAAGGAAGAGCCAGGCCGATCACGGTGGATATGTCTAGACGATTCTGCCTTATTCACTGTATAGCTCTAACCTTCTACTTTCTGATTATTACCCATCCAGCCACTTCTAACGTCATCTTGATTGACGAAAACTTACTTCAAAAGAACGTATCAAAAATGGGTTGACTTGATTCTGAACTCGCTGTGACCGGAGTTCTGGAAGGAAGGCATCCATAATTTAGTGGGGCATTTGCAGATAGTCATTAATAACGATGGTCATTACATCCAATTCATCCGACATCGTTTTGACCTATTTTACTTTGAACGTATCTGACGCTAAAAATGGAAAGGACTTTCTGAACAACCTAATAATTTTTCGGAAAATGTGGTTTTCTCAAACAATTTTAAGATCACAATTAGGTACAAAACAATTGAAATCAAAATGTCCAGCGAAGTTCCAGTTTCTAGTTTACCTAGTCTGGTTTCACAGTCACTCATAGATTTTTTACAATTCAATTATAATTCAGTGATTTTCTCTATTCAAATGTGAACTCAAAGCTATTTTCTCATCTTGAAACTTTGTATCCTAATGGACTTGACATCTCAGGATCTCGAAAGTTTCACAATGGAACGATAGCTAATAAAAATATAAATTTTTGAAAAAAAAAATCTTGCTACATGCCGATAAGCGCCGCGAAAAATAGGGTCACCGAGCCCGCGGCGCTCAAAAAATGATCAAGTTGGAGCGTGTTGATTAGAAAAGCAGTAGAGACAGACACAGATAGAGGAGAGAGTGTGCAGGAATAAGAGACGCAGACAAGGTAGACCAATTGTCGGAAAAAAGAGGAACCGAGTGCAAAACGGACGGAAGAAGCTTTCGGAAATTGAGCGAAAGAAGAGAAGAAGAAGAAAGAAGAAGTCAATGGTGAAGAAAACAACTAGAAGAGCAAAAAGGGCAACTGAAGAGTTCTTTTGAGAAAACTCTAAAAAAGCGACCATCAATTCGAAAGAGCCAATAAAAATTATACAGGCAAATGATAAGAAAACGGAAAACTAGAAGTGCTAGACTGGAGGGAATCACAAGGGTTTTGAGTACATTTTAAAATTGCCCCAATTGGTGGTGTTAAAGGGGGACTCCGACCAAAAATTTTTATTGCCTTAAAATGTTTCAAAAAATATGTATTGTCCTAATATTATTGCGAAAAAATCGTCCTTCCTGGCAACTTTTTTTTTGAAATTTTTTCGCTTTTAACGCCATTTTTCGGGGATTTAGGATTTTTTTTCGA